AAGGAAGGACAGGGGGGGGGGGGGAGGGGGGGGGGGGGGGATACCGTGGTATCATTTGTTGTCCTGGGACCAGTTGGTAGACGGTAATCAGGACGGCTGTTGATGCTCAGCACAAGAGTTACAAGAGAGAACGCCACTTTATCAACTGAACTCCTCTGCACGAAACTCTTCTCTTTGCCCACTCCATCAACAACAACAACGGCGACAACGACAACGACGACACCAATAACAACAACGACAACGACACCAATAAAAACCACGACCGCAACAACGACAACAACGACACCAATAAAAACAACATCATCAACGACGACAACGACGACGACGATAAGGTGGCTTTCGTCCTTGAAGTCGCGGACGGGGCTGTCCTGAGCGCGTGGTCCAAGACCCTGGGAGACAGCGTGGCTGCGTTAGAAAGTGAGACTGACTCGGGTCAAGCTTGTTTGTTTTTATTCAATCACTTAAAATCAATTATTTCGATGTCAAAACGACGCTCGATTTTTTTTTTTGTGTGATAACGTCTGTGTGCTGGGACTCTGTATTCCTTGGCATCTGAAGGCTTATTTATTTTTTCTTTTGCATCGTGTTTGTCTTTTTTGTTAGTTCTATATGCCGGCTTGTTGCTAAATTCCTTGGACGGGCCTGTTTTGTGCCGGATGCTGAATATATGCCGGATGCCGGTGTCCGGTATAAAGTAGTGCCGGTTTTATTCGATTCGGCTGGCACAGGCTGACTTTGAATAGTGCCGGTGTCTGGTACAGTTGTCCCGGTCAATTCTCTGGACACATACCGGCTCTATACCCCGCCCCCCCGACTGTTTTGATCATGTCGTTCTGTATTCCTTCTTGGTACCGTACGGTCCAGGACAAGTCTTGCTCATGTTCGTCGGTTTGTTGGTGTATTCCTTGGTTCGGCGGTACATCCCACGGTACAGGTATTGATAATTTATTTTTCTTTCAATCTCGCCCACAGGTGCCGACGCTCCGGAGGGAGACCTCGAGCCAGGCTGGCTGATGCAGTCTCGCTTGTTGTCGTCCATGTATTGATAAAAAAAAAATCTTTCAATCTCGCCCACAGGTGCCGACGCTCCGGAGGGAGACCTCGAGCCAGGCTGGCTGATACAGTCTCGCTTGTTGTCGTCCATGTATTGATAAAAAAAAATCTTTCAATCTCGCCCACAGGTGCCGACGCTCCGGAGGGAGACCTCGAGCCAGGCTGGCTGATGCAGTCTCGCTTGTCGTCGTCCATGTATTGATGATGTTTTTTTCTTCTTTCAATCTCGCCCACAGGCGCCGACGCTCCGGAGGGAGAACTCGAGCCAGGCTGGCTGATGCAGTCTCGCTTGTTGTCGTCCATCGCTCGGGTGGTGTCGACGGCTCCCGTGGCGGTACAGCAGCTCTTCGACCTCGGTGCGCGCACGAAACTTTCAGCTTGATTTCGGATGTTTTTTTTTTTTTATTATTTGATTTCTTGATATGACTACAAACGAATCCGTGCAACCTTGGTTTCGGACGTTTTTATTGTTTTGGTTTATTTATATCTTGATATAACTACGACGAATCCGTGTCTTATCCATAGGTAAGAGTCCAGGGTGAGGTAGCAACACGTGGGTAACTTTTCTCGTTTTTTGTTGTTGTTGTTGTTGTTGGTATGCAACCCAACAAATTTATGTCTATCCATTGATATTATGCCTCCGGGTTACATTTGCGATGGATCCATAATGCGTCATTAATAGATATTTTTCATTGTGTTTTACTGCACGTGATTGTTGTGGCTGTAGTTGGTGTTGAGTGTTGTTGCTGTTTGGAAAATTTGATAGTGTCGATGCGATCTTGCGTTTTGTCGCTATCGTCCTTAAGAACAAACAGTGTTGGCGCCGCTTCTCCCCCCACAACGTTCGTGCTGATCAGAGAGGACATGAAAACGACAGCGGGATTTTTTTTCGGAAAACGACCGTACCAGTGCCGTCATGTCTCTCACGGTTTTGTCGGGGAATGGTCGAGCGGATGACTTGTGGACGGGCCTGGGTGTATGTGTGGTTTTGTTTCTTTGAAATTGTGCTTCATCAATATTGGTAGGCTGACTTCCATCAGAGGACATGCCATTTAAGAAGATCGAAAGAATCACTGCTCTGCGGGAGATCTTAATGGTGTTTGTTTAACATTGATTGGTAGGCTGAGTTCCATCAGAGGATATGGCATAAAAAAGGAAGGAAAAAATCCGTTGCCGTGCAGTACGGGGTACTGTAGGCCGGTACTACTTGCCGCGCCTTGCTTTTTTGCCCCTCTATGCGATTGCTGCACTCTACTCGAATTAAAAATCGAAGTTGGGCAGGGGGAAACCCTTCTGTGTGACCACGGGCTGAGTATACGGCGCAAGTGCTGTGACCGTTGATTTGAGGTGAAGAGAAAAAAAATGCGGCAGCACCATGTTTTAACCGTTGCGGCGGTGGCAGTCAGGCGAAGGGCAGCGTTTGTGTTGCCCCTCGATTGAAAATTGGCCCTCAGACTCATACTGGGAAGGAAGCCCAGGTTTCTCCCCCACACTCACCCCCCCCCCTTCGACTACTGCTATGGTACTATATCGTCGCACGGGTGTAGTCGTTTAGTGAGTTTTTGTGTACATTCGCTGAAAGATGGCCAAGCCGCTTCTTCAACCAAGCGCGTGGTCCATTCCGGCGTTTTACAGCTCCTCCTCGTCCTCCTCACGGCGGCGCTTAAAAAGCTAGAGAGAGAGCGGCGACGGGCTTCTAGATGCAGGCACGCAGAGAGCGAGAGCGGCTTTAGGCCGGCTAAATTGATGCGTGCACAACAGCCGGCCCGCCCACGCTCAGCGACGACGCCGAGAGCACAAGCAACGCCAAGTGTTGGGTGAATATTAACGGTGCTGCTGCTCCTACTTCTCCGTTGCACCCCCCCCCCCCCCCGGCCAGGTGTACACTCGCTGCTGCGGCGCATCCTGTCCGACTACGTGTGGTGCGGAGACCTGGCGGACGGGGGGGTAGAGGTGTCTACTTCTATCACTGCCCCCTCCCCCGCCGCCGCCGCATTGCTGCCCTCGGATTCTGGTTCCACCACCTCCGCGGTACAGCAATCGTCGGTTTTTCCGGCCCCACCCCCCTCCTCCGTCTCGGGCGCGGCGCTTGTCGCAACGGCGGCGGAGCCCCCGAGACAGGCCGATTCAGATTCAAATTCCGCCGCCGCCGCCGCCGGCCGCCGCGCGGCGGCGGCGGCGGCGGCGGCGGCGG